TCCGAGTTAACGTTCGTTCGTTCGTTCGTTTTCAATTATGTGTAATAAATCCACTCGTAATACTTCTAATGACTCATAAAATAATTTATTTTTTATTGATTAAGTCGATTATTTACATATATCGGGAAGTTCATGTAACTTGCCTCAAGGCTAAATATCAAACCAACCAGTTTTTTTATAAAAACCATGTTGTTTTTCCAAACCAACCTTCTGGTGTGTCCAAGTTCCCGGAAACTGGTGCTCTTATCACTTCTTGCTCAAAAAGTCTGTGTTCCGATGTCAAAGACAGATGGTGCTTGAACGAGTAAGGTGGTGCACAGGGTTTTTTGGATTGTAGGGTACAAGGTTTGGCAATTCTGAAAAAAAAAAATTCAGATAGGAAATTTTGCACCAAAGGTTGCTTACGCCAGCCACTTACTTTCCTGGTGACGTGTTGATATAGGGATGTGCTGTTTTATCAACAAAACTACCAAAACCAAGTCTAAAATTATCAGTAATGTTAGACATAACCATTGCTAAACGACTTGCCAGTCGTGACAAATTCTCTTTATCGTCTTCCATGGACGCCGACAAGTCCATCAAATAATACAAGTCTACAGGATAATCTTGAGCCTAGGATTAAGGTTAAATAAAACACTTTTGCAACAACAAAATTATTTTCTTACCTTACCTGTTGGTATTGAACTTTAAATCTGACTTCTTCACCAACCCTCAATTTGGCACTAATTCTTTGGGGTCTTATTTGAACCGCGTCTTTACCAAAGTTTGGATTCGCTTTTCTTAAAGGCTCGTCTTGTATAGTGTTGACTGATGTTATTGGAGTTAACAAAGACCCTGATGGACATTGTGTAGCCACATGGGTTGGCAGAGTTAGACATCTTTGGGAAGTGTAATCCTAAAAAAAGTCGCAAAGTGTTACCGATTTTTCGAAAATGTGTGGGTTGTTTTTGAAAATTTCAAGGTACATGGTGGATATATATGTTGTCTTTGAGTAATAAAAATTTTGTAAACACAAGTCAAGCCGTTTTGGAGTTATCAGCACAAACGTAGGAGCATGCAAGTTGTTTTTGCTTGAAAAACGTTTGAATGCATTGTGTATGATAATTTTTACTGCAAAAATGTGTAGTTTGGTATCAAAAATTTTAATGTGGATTTGTACATATATATGTTGTCTTTAAGTAACCAAATTTTTGTAAACATCACTCAAGCCGTCTTGGAGTTATCAGGAACAACGTAGGAGCATGCAAGCTGCCTTTGCTTCCAATACGTTAGAATGCATTGTGTGTGAAGATTTTTATTTTCAATATGTGTAGTTTAATGTCAACAATTTTGAAGTGGATTTGTACATATATATGTTGTCTGTAAGTAAGCAAAATTTTGTTGAGATCAGTCAAGTCGTTCTGGAGTTATCAGGAAAAACGTAGGAACATGCAAGTTGCCTTTGCTTCCGAAACGTTTGAATGCATTGTGTGTGATGATTTTTATTTTTAAAATGTGTAGCTTGGTGTCAAAAATTTCAAGTGCATTTGTACATATATATGTTGTCTTTAAATAACCAAAATTTTGTTGAGATCAGTCAAGTCGTTCTGGAGTTATTTGAAACAACGTAGGAAAATGCAAGTTGCCTTTGCTTCCAAAACGTTAGAATGCATTGTGTATGATGATTTTTATTTCAAAATGTGTAATTTGGTGTCAAAAATTTCAAAGTGGATTTATACATATATATGTTGTCTTTAAGTAAGCAAAATTTTGTATACATCACTCAAGCCGTTTTGGAGTTATTTGAAACAACGTAAAAAAATGCAAGTTGCCTTTGCTTTTAAGTACGTTGAATTCAATGTTTGTGCTGAAGTTTTAAAATACTTCTGACATCCCCAAAGCAAAACTGTTGACCATACGTTTTTGCTAAAAATGTCAATTTGCTAATTTCATATATTTCAGACGTTTCAAGTCATTCTGAATTGTGTGACTCCAAAAATCGTATAATGTGAGATAATTTCTATTTATAAATAGGTGAGACAATTTCTAGTTATCTCCTAAACGGCTGTACCGATTTCAAAAATTCAAAAACCACACGATGAAACTCAATAAAAACTCTAATTTTATCTAATTTTTTTATCATCTTACCGGTTTGGAACACCAGCTACATCCTGGTTCCTGTATACAAGCACCACATGTTTCTTTGGTGGAACAAACCGAGTCAGTTGGTGCAGATATTTTTGAATTTGCAAAATTTGCTAAAAATACTAACAGTATTATTGTAGAGATGATGATTTTGTTTTTGTCCATGATTTTTTATGGAGATTTCTGAAAATATAAAATAGTGAAAAATAGGGTAATTGGAACTTTTTAAATGTTTATTAGACATAATAGCATTAAAAGATTCTTGTTGTTTTAAATTAGCTAAATAATGTTAAATAGATTATTTAATTTTTTTGTTAATTTAATTCAAATATGAATAAATAATAATTTATTAATTAAATTAAAATATAATGAACACTACAATTATATAGAGAAATAAATTTTCTTGAAAAAAAAAATTGTACTTTTTTAACGTTAAAAATCACAACCTAACTAAATTCCTAAATAAAAAATATTGATTTAATTTCTCATTTTTAAATATTTTCTAATTTCACCGAAATTTATGTCCCCTCGTCAGAAAGTTTTGAATCAATTATTTAAAATAAAAATTTGGTAAAAAAAATTTAATACATTTATCACTTTATAATTTTATAAATTGAAATAATTGACCTTTTACCTTTTGAAGAAAAAATAATAGAAATTGCTAGAAAAAAAAATGAATAAACTCAGTAAAATTATTGTATATTATAAATTCAAAATATAAAAAATTAGTTATTTATTAGATTATAAACAATAGTATTTTTACTAATACATAAGAAAAAAAACACTTTTAGTTCTTTTACAGAAAAAATAATAAATATATTTTAACACAATAATGAAAGAAATGAAAGTATCAAATATTCAATAATAATAATGTTGTAATTTGAATTTTAGTGAGTTTTTATTTTGAAAAAAAAAAATAATGATTTGATGGTAAAAGTCAATTCTCTCAATTTATCAAATAATAAAGTGATAAATGTATAGAAAGTTTTTTTTTTATTTTTTGTTTTTTTGTTCCTAGCTTAAAAAAAAGATTTGTCTTTATTTGCACTGGAAAAAGAGGTCATCCCATATTCTTAAAACTTAGGAAATATTTTTAAATAAATAATAATTTGGTAAAAATGAGGCGTTTAGTCCAGAAAAATAAATCATAAATAATTATGTATTCAGAATGTATATATATACATAAACAAATTAAATTCATCTTAAATTACATGAATGAAATTGTTTCAAGTATGTAATTTAATTATATAAATATTTTGCAATAACTATGATTCATTGAAACAATTCTCAGTATATATAAATTACCATCGTCGAAAGTTAACTGTATGATTAATATAATTCTAAGATATATATATATATATATATATTATATATATATATATATCAATGAATGATAACCACAACAGAATGTTTTCACAATTTTGAGATAAAAAACGTTTTTATTGTAAAAACAGATAAACTATATATATATATATATAATATATATATATATATATATATATAAAATTGGCAAATGCAATAAATATAAATAAGACAATATTTTTTATATGTTTATACACTTTATTTAGAAATTGAAAAAATTTACTTGTTTCCTACCCTTGTGTAATTATACTAAAAAAAATATTTTATTTCTAGTTTTTCTCATATTTATTAAATAAAATATTTATTAAATTTGTCAATTTTATATATATATAATATATATATATAAATAAATAAAAATGTTTTTTATCTTTTAAATGTGAAAACATTATATTGTGTTTATCATTTATTAATATATATATATATATATATATATATATATATATATATATATATATTTAAACTATTTGTTTATAAAATGCATTTAGACTATTTAGCAAATGACTCACATGATATTATCAAACATTATTAGCAAAGAATTTCGCGAATTTTAAATAATATATAAAATTAGATTTATCTAAGAATTACAATCATAATTTTGATAAGAAATTTATTTGATAATAATTTGATGTTGATATAATAGATATATATATTAGGTTTAAAGATCGGACGTTACACCAATAAAAATTATATAAATATTTTTTTAAGAATTCATTTAAAACCCATAATAAGTTTCGGCTAACATCCTAGCCTTCATTTTTAATAAAATTCAGTGCAAGGTGCTATAAAAATTTGGTAGTAATATAAGGATACCAAATTTTTACAGAACACATATTGCGCTAATTATAAGTGATTTCTAGGATGTTAGCCGAAACGCATGGATTTAAAATATTTTTTTAAAAAAATAATCATACAATTTTTTATCGATACTAAAACTATTACATATTAATAAACTATAAAAATATAGTGTTTTTTTTTAATCAGGGTAAAAAATAAGAACACGTAATATCTTACCAGACCATCTCCCTCCTTTTCACCTAAATCCAAACATTTGAATAAAAAGAATCCAAAAAAATTAAATTTAATTAAATTAAATTGGGATGAGAAGCAGGGCTAATTTTAAATATCTCCATGTATCACCAAAAATCTTTAAAAATCGATCACTTGATTAATAAATGACCCTTTAAAAAATTTGTCCAAAATAAATATCCTGCAAAAAAAAACTCTGCAACTCTGTATACTTATAAATCACTTATAACCTAATATATAGACTTCTTATTTCTTAAGTCATCCATTGACACATATCAGGAGAAATTCATACAACTAACATTTACACCTAGTTATTTATTAAATACCTTCAAATTTTGATCGAATATTACACCGGCAGAACTATTTTTTATTTTCAACACTTTTTTGGCACAATTTACACTAACACAGAACACAGCACTATATATTTTAATATTATTAATAATTATAATTAATAATATTATATATGAAATATATATAATAATATTATATATTTTATTTATTTATCACATATTTTGTATCCGATTTGTTCTGAACGTTGTTAGTCATCGGTTTCTGGTTTTGTAATGAGCTCATGTGAATTCATATCTCGACACAATGTAAAACATATACATATAAAATAATATAATATAATATATATATATATATATATATATATGTATATATATGCATATATATACATATATATAAATATGTATATATACATATGTGTATATGTATTTATTATCGATGATTCTCTCGAAATTGGTCAACAGTTTCCAATTTAAAAGTAGAGTTATACAGAAATTGTAAGTAAGTAAGTGGTATTTTGCCTTAAGGCAAATTGCATCGAATTTCTGTAAATAATTGACTCAATATAATAATTTATGAGTATACTGAGTTGCTGTCGAGTCAGAATTCAATATTTTCCAAATAAAAATTCCAATATTTTCCAAGGCCAATTTTAAATATCACCATGTAAAACCAAAAATCCTTAAAAATCGATCACGTGATTAATCGACCCTTTCTTTAGAAAAATTTCTTTAAAAATTTCTTTAAAAAAATTGTAAAAATACTTGTAAATAAAATTACATTTTTTTTAAATTTCATAACTCGACGTTTTATCAATTCTTTATTTCAAATTTATTTTTTTTCGTGCAATTTTGTGTGTTTTTGTGTTATTTTTCAATGTTTATTTGTATGGTGAGTTTCTTTACTTTTGTTTATTTTATGGTTGTTTTTCATATATACTTTTCATATACATTGTTTTACTTATTTTTGTTTGTTAATTATGTGTTTTTTATATTGTTTTAATGTGTAACCCTGAATTATTTAATTGTAGCACTGAAGATGGGTCAAATCAAGACCCGAAACGTATGTTCTCTAAATAAAAACATTTTTCATTAAAACTGTTTTTTAATTACTGGATGGATTTATGGACAATTTTATTATATATATATATATATAATATATATATATAATATAATATAAACATATATATAAATATAAACAAAAAATATACCAATATATATAGTACATACATATATATATATATATATTATATATATATATATATATATATATATATATATGTATGTACTATATATATTGGTATATTTTTTGTTTTATATTTCATGTTTGTTCTTAAGATTAGTCACTCCCATAAAAATAAAACAGTATTTAAACAAATTTATTGACTTATGAAATTTGCCTCGAATGTTTTTACATTGAACGCAGAAATTTCTCATTTGCGGAATTCTTAAAAACATTCTACGAACACCGACGATGACATCATTACATCATATGTCGTCCGTGAACACGTGACGATAAATCCACTTGGTGACACAATCATGACGTCATTATAAACTAGCTGTAAGTGGAATTCTGTCTTAAGGCAATTAGGGCATCGTGCCTTAAGGCAAATTGCTGGAACTTCCCGTACCAAAAATTATTATTTTTTGAAAAACGATTAACATTTTTGAAAAAATTTTACTTCGAAAAAAATAGATTTTTGAGAAACTATAAATTTGACAAAAAATTACTTTTTTTTTGAAAAAAAAATTTTTTTTTAAGAAAAATTTTTTTTTTGAAAAAAAAATGTTTTCTTCATTTTGACATATTTTGGAAATTCTGAACTTTTTTCAAAGCAATCGCACTGCTTTAA